GACGGTATCGTTTCGGTTTGCGGTAACACCATGTGGTAATAACTACTGCTTAGAAGATATTAGTTCTGAAAAGAACTTGTCCTGCTTATTATCAACTTTGCTAAGTAGTTTATGTTCTGATACGAACAGTCCTGCGGGGGGGGGGGGTGTTGGGACAGCTATAACCAGGGGCAAAGAGGACAGGACGTCCGTACTACGCCGTCTGGCATGAGGAGCTGGTCGCCTGTTTAATGCGCAGACCATTTTTTTTTTACTAAATCGGGCACTCTGACCTCACCGCTACACTTGGCAACGACCCTGCCCCTAACATACCTGCCCGTAAGCTGACGTGGGTTCAACCTTCACTCTATCTAGCCTCTCTCACCAAGGCTTTGCCACCCCACATCCCCCCCCCCCATCTCACCCATCTACCATCAATCTGCGGACGCAACCACTTAATTAATGTTTTACGACCTTCAGACCCAAACGGCCTAAACACCCTGGCCCTTCACGGCGGATACAGAACCAAATTGTCCATGTGCTTCCAGTTATGTTAGGCGGTGAGTGGAGGCGAAGGAGAGCAGGTAAAAAGGGCCTGACACCCGGCAAGCTGGCCGTTACAGAATCGAAATACGTTTTCCCTTCATTATTTTTACTGACTACATCATAATAGCATTTTGGGTGGCGTGGGTGGCTTGTGCGTAAAGTGCTCGCCTCTCACCAAGGTGACCATGGTTTGAATCCTGGCCGCGGATCCCATGTGTGTAGAGTTGTGCGTTGGTTCTTTCCAGTGCCACGAGAGTTTCTCTCCGGGCCCTCCGGTTTTCCTCCCTCCGGAAAAATCAAACACTTTTGATCTCAAGCTGTGCTCCATGGTCATTATATGGGTCGATGTGGTCGGCAGCCATAGGCGTCTTTACGTGCCAGTGGCCCGACCACGTTGTAGCCGCATCCTTTGCAATTCAGCATCCCAGCTGCGAGTAAGGATGATGAGCCTCCCAAATTATTTATTATTATATTCCGAGAAACCTTGGGGGAAATTAAACGAGTGGACCACGCCATCGTCTTAGTAATATTTACTGCTCTTGTTTAATTATTGAAAGACAAATAACTATTGGTATCAGTTTTGTTGCCCCTCCCATTTTCAACCCCTAATCCCCTCGACACACATTTGTACCAGGCCTTGAACAAGAAACCCCAAATTCAAGACGACAAAACAGCAAAATAACTATACAGAAATACAAAGTAATTCACTGAATTAGTGCAAATATTTTTTAATATCAAATTGACTAGAATTGTTAATAATAATCACTGATTTAAGTACTTAATAATACCTTTGTTCACAAGAGTCAGATTGGTATTTGCTCGTTCATTTCGACGACAAACGATTTTTTAAAAACTTTTTTTGTTTGTAAACATTCAAAATGTCTTTGCAATTCTACTTTCCGGAGAATTCGATTTCATTCTTCCAGAGTGTATTACAAGGGGCATGTATGTCCCACATTTTCAAAAACTAGAGTTTTCTAAACATTGTTTTTTTAGAATTTATATTCTATATCTTATCACATGATATTACTATATTAGTTAGGCTATTAAACAAAGAGATATTATGAAATGTAAATGCACTTGAAAATAAACAACACCTTCTGTACAATAAAATAATCATTTGCAATAGAATTATAACTGCATTTTAACAATGCTCGGATAGTGTCACATTAACAACTAAAATTGCATTAAATTGTAACCAATCATTTCATCAGAATTAAACTCTAAGACCAAACTTTTAACACGTTAAAAATCCTATGAAAATATTTTGGCACACAAGAACAAAACAAAAACAATAATGACATTTAAGAGTCATTGGTCCACTATGGTGCAATGCAAACTCACTTCTTTGTTTGTTTGTTTTTAGAGAGAAAACAAATCCTTCCGAGGATTAATAATTAATGATACTGCTTTGGGCGTGTCTCCGCCGGGTTGTCTCTTGTAGCGTGAATTTAGGACCCTATGAAATACAGACTCATTAATATTATAGTGCGTGTCTAGCTGGTGATAATTAGTAGAGTGACCGCTCACACGAGAGAGTTTAACCAATAATAGGGTGCCAGTGAGTCAATCACATTAATGTTTGTAGAAGACATAATTATGTAAGGTCTAAAGCAGCAAAGTCTTCATTCAAATTAGTCCAATTTTTCACCCTCGTCATTCAAAAATGCAAAACTTTCTTTCAGATGCACTTAAACACGGGCAAGCGTTTTTGCACCCGGTTGAGTTGAGCGAAAATATAAACATGTTTCAAGGTATCTTCATCACCCCCATAACAAGTGCGCAATCTAGGTAACTTGTACATTGAATTCAATTTGGTAACTACGTTTACCAAAGTAAGACATTTCAACCAATACTAGGGTAAAGGTGAACTTATCAGTTTTCACAGGAGTCTGATTTTCATATGACACCGGAAACAAGCACTTTTTTTCTTAAATGAAGTTTCGATGAGAGAAATCAGTATTAACCTGAGTGTCTGAGGAGCAGCACCATGGCCAGCTCCGAAAATGGGGGAGGGGAAGGGGCCACATTACCAGCTGGGGGAGCACACCAGAAGAAAACACACAATCGCAGATAATGTTTTTACGCTAATTTGCCGATGGGGGCTTGGCAGTTGCTCGCTTTGTGGAGACCACTATTTATGAGGCGCCCCCTCTATTGATGAAAACTTAACACTTGTTTTATTCAGCGCGCCCTTTCTCGAAATAAACTTTCATTTGTTGTTCGACGGTTTCTCGCGAAATAGAATCTCCTTATGAGTAATACATCAAGACCGATTACTGGCCGAACTTACAACTTAAAACATCTGGGCATGGTAGGCTCGGGTTATTGCGTGTGTCATATTTCTTGGACGTTGACTTTCTGTTTTCATTCGGTTTGTATTTTTCGTGTTTAAGATGCTTTGTTTGTTTCGGTCAAACATGTATTATTATTTCATTGTTTGACAGTTTCCCCATAATATTAAATCTCATAATGTTGCGCAGTCATCATGACAAATCACTGGACGAAATTCTAATTTTGAAATATAGTATTAACTCGTTTTGGGGGCAACAACTCAAGAAATACTTCATGTATTCAATTAACATTTCAAACACCATGCGTTGGAGATCTACAGTCATAAGTATTACTAACAAAAAAATCGGGAAGTACGTTGTATTTATCACTTATGTCTTTGGGAGTTGATTGACAGTTCATGGGGTGCAGCCCTGTATTAAAATTCCCATAGACACCAGTGTTAAATGCCCATACTTCAAAATTCTTGTAAAAATACTCAGAACTCATACGGGTATAGCTGCACAGAAAAAAAAGGTAATCAACATGTCATCTTTTATTTTTTTTTTCATTTTATTTGTGGGTTGACCATTGACTTTTCGAGATATTCTCACCCAAAGAAGGCGACCCCTATTTTTTTCCATAAGTGAAACAGTAGCCATCTTCAAAAACGATCCCTCCACAACACGACATGACACAATAGCGCCACTTTCGAGGCCAATTGCATCCAAAATGCTCAGAATTGGAAGCCCCAAGTCCGGGCCAGAGTGTTCATTGCCTTATCTCTTCAAATCCCCAATTTAATGGCTCTCAGAATTCTCTAATATAGAATATTTTGAGGGTTTAACTGTCTTTCATGCACTCGGCGGATGGGTTTAAGCCTATTTACCGGTGTGCATCCTTTACCATCGTTCATGGGCGTGATTTTGTTTTTCCCAAACGTCATTCACATAATGGGTGTACGCTATGGCGTTTTGGAATTTACTTTTCTAACAACGTGAGAAAAAAATATAAATTAGACAAAAAAGAAATGAATTCGAACGTAATGAAATTCGGACTTTATTTCCCTTTAACAAAATATCCCCTGAAGCCTAAGGTTAGAAAAGAAAAACAAATTGGGGGCAAAACAACGGTGAATCGAACCTGCAACCTCGCAATTCAAAATCACAACCCTATCGACTGAGCTATCGCACTGCTCGCCAAAATGTGGGGGGAAATATAATTATATACTTGCGTACGTATCATAAAAGTATCGTAGAGGGCGCTAAACAACCATGTATGTGGGTGTAGTTTAGGAAAAGAAAATTTGCATCCGGGTCCATGGTTTACCACGATGGGAACGTACAGCAAAGCTATTTTTACTGAAATAAATCTGCCAACGTATATCCAAAAATGCGGAAGAACATGTTTTACTGGTAACAATAATAATGCCCGCCTTTTGCCGGCCATGTGTCCGGAGAAAAAAAACTGTCTGCATTTCAGATTTGTTTTGCCGATGAACCATTCCCTCGGGCGAAAATTCCTGTATCCGCCCCTGCACACACCCACCTCCACCATGCACGTGCCGATGACCCTGGCCCTAACATACCCGGCGTTTGTAAGATGAGCGTGTGTGGAAATCGTACAGCTTTCACCCTATTCAGCCTCTCTCACCAATGCTCTCCCTCTCATTCTCACCCATCTCCCATTAATCTGCAAAACGCAACCAGCTTATTTCTATCACCATTCAAACCCAAGCCAACCTGAACACCCTGCCCTTCACAGGCGGATGCAGAACAACACTGCCGGTGGGCTTCCGGTTGTTTCGTGGGAGGGGGAGGGGGGGGGCAAAGATACATGGGCCTGACATCCAGCATTTTTCCTTTCTCATTTTGTTCTGTCTACATGTTTTAGCATTTTCAGAATCCGTGGGGTAAATGGGATAAGTAGACTACACCATCGTCTTAGTGCCATTCATTGTTCTTGATGAATTATTGAAAGATACGCAACAATCGGCATCATATTTTGCTCCCCGCCCCTCATCTTCAATCCCTTAACCCCTCGACACCACTAATCATTCATCCTCCACCCCATCCATCCTCAACCAATGTTAACCCGGCCTTTTATTAACACCGATCCCAAATCCAGTGGTCAAAACAAACAAAAATTGACAAAAATACAGGTAATTAACTGACTCTGTTTGCAATAATTTGTAATTTCAAAGGGATTAAAATTGTTATCTATAATCACAGATTTAAGTGCTTAATAAGAAATTATTTTGTTCGTAAAAGTCAGACTGTGATTTGCTCGTTCATTTCAACGACAAATATTTCTCTGTAATTTTACTTTCTTGAGAGGAATTCGATGGAATGTATTACGAGTGGGACAAGGTTTTCCACATTGTTAAAAGCTAAATGTTCAATTAAAGTAATGTTCAAAATACAGTTTTTGAGCATTTATACTCGATACTGATTACATGTTATATGATTAATGTCTGTGCTTAAATTGGTTTAGCTGCTTACAAGAGCACATCCTCAAATGTATACTTGGAAAACAAATTCTTACAATCAAATATATTCTATAGAATCATAATTGCGTAATCTTCTGATATTGTGTCACATTATCAACTAAACTTACATTAAAACATAAACAATTTCATCAAAGTGAAAGCTCTAAAACTCAACTTTTCACATGAAACAAAAACTCAATTACACATGTATAACATGGGATACAAACTAAAGTGTTTAACAAAAGTTGAGAGTTCTTGGTTCACTGTGGCGCAATTTTAAACTCTTGGTTTTTTTTCAAGAAAAAAAGTTTCTGAGGATAAATAAATGATATCACCAGACTTCATTTAATCTCTGGCTGTATACGGTATGCGAAATGCAAATAAAAAAAACAACAATATATTTTAACAACAACAATATATTTTAATACATGCATTTGTTACTTGCCAGACAGACTATTGTAACGGTTTATGTTTTTTCATACGATGACCAGTTTAAGAAATAACAACATATATGCAGAAGGAAGGGTCGTACGCCCATACTTCAGGAACTACGTTGGCTCTTGGTTACGGTGCGGAAAGAATTCAAGATTCTTCGGTACTTTTCAAACTTATCCGCCATGGTGAGGCAGCGCTACGGTACTTCACAGAGTAAATACCAGTTCATGCGTTAAACATTCGCGCGCACTAAAAGCTGTGATGGGGTTCAGTTTAATCTTCCTAGAGTTTGTCCAAAGACTGGCAAGGCATACGGTGACCGTGCAGACTTCCAAGTTATTTGAGCAAAAAAAACGAATTTGAAGTGTTTTCAATCGCATCTAAAACCTTCTTTTTCAAAAGTCATATATTTAACTTCTTTTTAATTAACTGTTTTTACGCAGCTTTGATACTTGAATGTTAAAATGCTTTGTGTTAAGAATCAATTATCTTTCTTAGTATCATGACATTGAACATTTTTCTTTTAATTCATTGGTTACTGTTTTGGCAAAATGGAAAGCGAAACCAAAAAAATGCAGCACTGCTCCTGTATATTTATGCGTTTTGGTTTCATTGTATTTATTTAATTATTTATTTATTCGGAGAAAAGGAGGAAGCCACTGAATGAGGTGTAGTGATAGGTGGAATCACTGTACGCCCTACCGTTCATGGTAAGATACACCGTGTCTCCTCGCTGCAGAACCAGCACCGCGCTCCCAGACAACTGACCACGTTGACCTGTTTCACCATAGGTAGTGATCACCTTGTAGTTGTTTTTAACAAGATGGATGCGAAGGTTACCGTTGTTGTTATACTTAAGAACAGAAAACGTAAATACGTAAGTGCCCGGCACGCTACAGGTGAACGTACCGGTCTCGAGATCGAAGCTGGTACCTGGCAGAAGTGTCTTGGCCTGCTGGAAGGGCAAACGGTAGTGGTTACTCGTAGAGGTATCCGAGCTGCTCGTCCTCACCACGGTGAATGCAATCCGCTGGTTGGAGTCGTCTGGTGTCTCCCCTGGCTCACCCTTCTGACCTTTGACACCAGTTTCCCCGGTTCCTCCAACAAACCCCGGTAGCCCTGTCGGACCTATCTTGCCAGGCAGACCAATCCCATCGTCACCTTTAGACCCAGTGTTCCCAGGTGCTCCCCGCTCACCCATAGGCCCAATAGGGCCAATCTCACCTTGCTGACCTGCAACGCCCTTTGACCCCGGCTGACCGTATGGCCCCATTGGTCCTACTGGCCCAGGCAGACCTGGTATGCCGGGTATTGCGGCAGGTCCCTGGCAGCACTGCTGACACATCTGAGACGCAGGACCATCACCGTCCGCGGGAACCGGCCCAGTAACGGAAGCTCGGAGCTTGACAGAGTTACCCAGAAGGAGGGCGATTGACAGAATGGTGGCCACGCAGATCTTCATCTGTAAAGAAAACAATGAAAGGCTTATATATAAATAAAATCAATAAGAAAAATCAATAAGAAACAAGTAGATTAAAGAAATAATTATGTTACATCAACTGAATAATTTATCTAAAAGACATGTATGACTACTTAGTATTGTTGACGAATCATTATTCATGCAGACAATGTGTTCGGCGTCATAATGACAGTGCCTGTCCGGGGCAAGGGACTAAAATTTTCTGAAAAGGGGGGTTCTTTTTTACTATTGCCCGCTGATCAAAGTTAGGAAAGGAGACCGGATTACTTCAGGTTTTTTTTTTTTTTTTTGGGGGGGGGGAAGGAAGGCGTGCTCTTTCCACGGTCATGATAGAATCAATTAAACATCACCACACCTCGATGGTTCGGTCTTGAAGACTTAAAGATCAGGTCCAAGAAGGGATCACAAGGAGTTCAGTGTAGGCTGCAAGAAAAATCGTAAACCGGTAACGTTTATACTTAAGTAAGGAATAAAATTATTTTATCATCGATTTGGATAGAATTGATTTTTTTTTTTATTTTGATAAATCATCATTCGAAAACAGGAAAAATTATACACCCACTGATAAATAACGGACAAATTATTATTTTACCGGTATTTTCCTGGCCGAAAACGTCCAAAACAAGCAACATCCATTAATTAATTGCACCAGCATTCAATTTTACCAAAAAAGACTAGTATGCATTTTTTAGGCACTAGTAAGTCATTGAAACTTTTTGAAAGCACAATTATGTGAGTTTTAAAACAGCAAATTGTTCAATCAAGTAGCTCTACTCCCGTCCAATTGCACATATTTTTTCATTCAATATTTGAACACATTCTTCCAAATACGCATTAAAACGGGCAAGCATTTTCAAAGCCATTTGAATTTAGCGAACGATCAAAATATTAAAGGGTATCTCCAATATCCGCGTAAAAATTGACGTTACTTTGCATTGAATTGATTGTGCTTTGGATTTCAGTCCTGCTCGGGAATTCAACTTAATGTATACGTGTACAAAATGTTACACATTTTCAATAAAATCGGGCAGTGTAGCAAGATCAGTGGCGGATCCGGGGGTGCGGAGGGGCGCCCTCCCCTCCGGCAGTGATCGAAGCACATTTCCCCCAAATCCCTTTATTTTGCAGCATTTTCCCGATTGCTCATTTTTGTTGGCCCCCACTCCCATTAAATTAACAACAGTTTGATTTCGCACCTCTCTTTATTTCCCTTTTTTTCTCATTGTTGTTTTGCTGGTCCCGGGGGGGGGGTGCAGTAAACGCCCCCCCCCCCCGCGCCCAGGCCCACGCGACGCCCATGAAAGCTGATGCTTCAAACTTGGAAGTCGGACAGCTCAGCAGAATAATTTGTACAAACATCAACTCTTTACAGGATTTCTAGAAATGAATCCAGCCTGATAAAGCATTTTGAACTTGAATAAAACTGTATGTGTGTAATATTTCCCGGTCCGTTTGTATTTGCGCCCTCTATAGTCTGTTCTAACCAATATCGTGCAATGCTTGTAAGTATAAACGGTCAGGCCTATATAGTGATCAAACCGGAATGGCACACTGTGATCTAGTGAAATAGCACAGTTTGATAAAAAAAAAAGGCCAGAAAGGTATTGAGATTATCCCAATTTTCAATAACACAACATAGGACAGGATGTTTGACATGTTCAGATTTCCTTTACACGTTCTTCCGTGGCCAACTTCCGCATAACCTTTAATCCTGAATTAGTTAGAGTGATTGCCGGAAAAAAAGGTGAGCGCATCGCATCGGGATTTTATGTTTGATACAGTAAACAGGGAAAACTAGCAAGATAATAAAGGGGGTGAATGGTCAAACTGATATTATGGGTCAAGTGTCAAGCTTTCGCACTATTTCTTTCTTTTAACCAAAAAAGTTTTAATGTATCATCTGTTATATTGTGTAAGTGCGTAAAACTCAATAACAATATGCAACTTGATGTAATGCGCTCTTGAAAATCTTCAGCCAAGTATGACTAGAAATCTGGCGAAACTGAATGGCAATACAAAGTATAAAATCTTCCATGAATTTATAGTGTGCTATCGTTAGCGACAAGAATTCAAGTAAGTTTCTAAGAGCTAGAGAAATCAGTCAGAATTTTAGACAATTGTCTTTGGAGAGTGCACCATGGATGTAGCAGCGATTGTCAGACAGGAATTCCTTATTCCGAACAAATAAAATAAAAACCCTGATTAGTTTGCTCTTGTAATATCTCAGTTTTTATTGCCTGAAACTGTGGCCTCACAAAATGTTGCTCTGAATCCGCATCAAGAGCTAATTCACTATATTCTATACAACATAGTACCTGCTGATTATTCAATCACCAATATCGGTAAGTTATCGAGTTACCGTATGGAAACGGGATATCATGGTCGGAAATATTTATATCTCGCCGTTTTGGCTATATTAAGCAAATTTGTGTTAATCGCAAGAGATCAATCCCGAAGTTAGCAGAGTAATCGTAAAAGATTTTTTCAAAGACTCACTGTGCAATTCTTGTTCGATCTTGCAAGCAGTTCTCTTGGGTTGTCGTCTGAACGTGGACATGAGCTGCGGTCGTTGTGAGAAGTGAGCTGGCAGCTTGTGACTTAAATATTGACGTCGATTTCCCGAGCAGTGACAGAGGAACTTGAAAGCCCGGTTTGTGATTGGCCCCTGCGCGCTGTCAATCACACATCACTGACACGCTTCATATTGATGAGAGGGAAATGATACTAATGTTACATTGCCACACGTTAAACCCGAAGCTTGTATCACCGACACTAAAATAGACGCACCTAATTGGTGAAATGATTGTATGGATGTCGGTGACACAATCAAACACGTGGAATGTGATTGACACCTGCCAATCACAGACCACTCACTTGTGGTCACCGACTTGTTGGCTGACTCAATCTGATTGGTGGATAGAATAATGACGTACATCGGCCATACGTGATTCAATCAGTGTTTGTTTTGCGCTTCGTGTTATTTAATGCAGCCACGCATTTGGTGGCTAGTATTTTGTAGTCAGGTTATGCAGTCTACATTTTTGATGGAAAAACAAAAGCGTAGTAATTTATCAGGTGCATGTACAGTTGCCGTCCTCTTACGATGAAGTAAACTTATTTTGCAGATTGCAGCCGTTCCCAAAGGCAACTTAATTATAACCATTTATCTATCCCCATCCACTTGTCAAACTTGTCGTCCCGGCCAACTTCTCGGCATGCAATCAACCTTGCACCTGCAGGAGAACCCCCTCCTCGCTAATTGAGGCCCTCCCACCTCCGCTTATTGAGCCTAACCTATACCTAAAACCAAACACATAATCATGCCAACTCCGATCTTTATCCTCGCCTAATCAAACCTAATCCTAAACTTACCCTAACTGTTTGGATCCTACCATGTGCAACAAACTTCTTTCCTTAGGAAACGCTAGCCTTCAATAACCTGATCTCCAAGCCAAGCACGAATCGCCATATTGAGCCCCTGCCCCCACCATCATTTCCCCCTCCTAACCACCCTGGGCAGCCAACGGCGGATCCCGTACCAATATGCTGAGGCGGAGAAGGGTAAAAGCTGTTCGATTTCCTTATATTTCCTCACTCGCTCATGTTTAATGCTAGAGTGCTGTTGTTCCCCTTTCTATTAATAGTTCCGTCGACAGGAAGAGGACGAGTAAATCTATTTTTACAGCATAAACAGTCGTGTAGTGACATTTTTTTTTTTTGTTGGGTATTACCTATCGAGTGCCACTGTTTTTAGTAATTCACTCATCAATTTTCTGCTTATGACAACCAACAGCTTTCCTCGCTAAAATAGGCCGGCCTATAAGAATACCTACTGAGAGAATTTGAAAAGACGGTGGCCAATATTCTACCGAAAGTCAAAAATAATCACTAAGTGTGTCCCTGAGTGTGCCTGATTTCTAGCGGAACAATACTGTCCACAATTCCAAACCGTACCTATTCTTATACCTATCTAGGGTGTGTCGTTTTGAAACCTAGTATTTTCGAGAGATATTACGCCGCGAAGTATTACTCATTGGCGTGGTTCATTAAATGGACCTTAATTTAGACCTCCATTTTCTGGAGGAAGCAATTCAAAGAGTTAAGCGCCTCCGCCGAATCCCAGTCAGGCTGAGTGGTGAGGCACGCCCTCTCTAGCTTTCCTGGATGCGCCACTGAGTTTGAAGTGACGTATCGTATCTCATCATCCGGTCGGGACCATTAGTTTGACCACGATGGGAACGTACAGCAAAAACATTTTAACTTTAATAAATCTGCCATCGGATATTTGAAAATCAAGGGGGGGGATTGTTGGGACAGCTATGACCCAGGCAAAGAGGACAGGACGTCCGTACTACGCCGTCTGACATGAGGAGCTGGCCGCCCGTTTAATGCTAGACCATTTTTTTTTTTTTACTAAATCGGGTACTCAGACCTCACTGCTACACTTGGCAACGACCCTGCCCCTAACATACCTGCCCGTAAGCTGACGTGGGTTCAACTTTCACCCTATCCAGCCTCCCCCCCCCACATCTCACCCATCTACCATCAATCTGCGGGACACAACCACCTAATGAATGTTATACAACCTTCAGACCCAAACGGCCTAAACACACTGCCCCTCAACGGAGGATACAGAACCAAATTGTCGATGTGCTTCCAGTTATGTTAGGCTATGAGTGGAGGGGAGGGGGCAGGTAAAAGGGCCTGACACCCGGCAAGCTGGCCGTTACAAAATTGATAGGCGTGGGGGATGCCTTTCGTTTTTCCCTCATTATTTTTCCTGACTACATTATACTAGCATTGTGGGTGGCGTGGGTGGCTTGTGCGTAAAGCGCTCGCCTCTCACCAAGGTGACCACGGTTCGAATCCTGGCTGCGGATTGCATCTGAGTAGAGATGTGCGTTGGTTCTCTCCTGTGCCAGGAGGGTTTCTCCGTGCCCTCCGGTTTTCCTCCCCCCTGCAAAATCAAACACTTTTGATCT